ATTCAGCATCACTTCAGCAGTGTTTTGGGACGGGATTAGCTGGGGGTAGAGACAGAAGAAGGGAGAGGATGATGGCTGGAGGATGAGGGACAAAAGAGAAGGTGGTGAGCAGGGGGAGCTGGGAGTCTGGTTGAGTGAGATGGAGACAGACTGGGTCAAGGCTGCAAATTTTCTCCAAGCTGATGCCTGCTGCTGCCCTTGTTCTTTCCTGGGATTCAGCCCCTCATTTTTAATTTCCTGAATGGCTTTGTTTGAGGCTGTGCAATCGCTTGGCATTAGTAATGCCATCCCAGCCATTTTCCACTTGGCCAGGGCTCCTGCAGCCCTGTGACCATCTGCTGGGTCTCCAAGTGAGCACATCCCTCAGGAAGTCACTCAGTCCTTTCCTCAGTACCCTCTTACCCGAGGGGAGAGGCTGGTGGAGTCAGAGCTGCTTGCTGGCGAGTCCTGAAGAGCTGGGACAGCCCACCCAAACCCCACTCCTCAACTCTCATTGTAGAGGAGACCCGAGGCATCGAGGAGGAGCCGAACCACCTGCCCTTGGTTGTCTGTGTCGACAAGCTCACCAAGGTCTACAAGACAGACAAGAAGCTGGCACTGAACAAGCTGAGTCTGAACCTCTACGAGAACCAAGTGGTGTCCTTCCTGGGGCACAATGGGGCAGGCAAGACCACCACTATGTGAGTTACCATGGGGGCACCCCTCTTTTATTTCCTCACTGCCTGCTGTGAGGAAGAGATGATGGGCAGCAGTGGAATGAGATGTGCAGTTGTCCCATCTTGCCTGTCTGGCTTGTTCCAGTTGCTAAAACTCTCTGGGCTTCAGCAAATTGTCACCCTGGCCTGCCTGGAGGTCTTAGTCCCAGGAGTCCCCAGTGGCTCTGTGCCAGCCAGCCTTATCTCCTACACCAGAGCCAGAGATGGGAGCTCAGGCACCCAGCCTTGCCGTGCCCCAGGTGTTACTGTCCAGGTGCTTTCAGCAGCTGTTGTTGAACAAGCTTATGTTCAGATCCTGGAACTCTTGTTGCCAGACACAGCCATTGTGTGTCTGAGGGTGGAGGCCTGGGAGCATGTCAGTGGGGTGAGGGCTTCAAGCAAAGTTGAGTGCCTGGGGGAGGCTTGGCAGGAGGGAGGTGCCATTCTAACATGGCAGCAGCTGGGGATGGGGAGCAGGTCTTGGAGGGTGAATCTTTGTAATAAGCTGGGGCATGGAGGTGCTGGGCAGTGCTGGATAGAGGTGTTGCCCAGGGTGATCCTGCCGGGGTCCCTTTTAGGGGCTGTCTGCAATGGCCCTGTGCTAGGCAGGCACCAATTTGTTATGAAGAGGAAGGCATCAGGAGGCGGAGCCCCCTCACATTGTCATTTCCCTGCCAGGTCCATCCTGACAGGCCTCTTTCCACCAACCTCGGGCTCTGCCACTATCTACGGCCATGACATCCGGACAGAGATGGATGAGATCCGGAAGAACTTGGGCATGTGTCCGCAGCACAACGTGCTCTTTGACAAGCTGACAGTGGAGGAGCACCTCTGGTTCTACTCGCAGCTCAAGAGCATGGCGGAGGAGGAGATCCGCAAGGAGATGGATAAGTAGGGTCCTAGGCTGTAAACAAGTCCTCAGGCTGTCTTGCTTTGAATGGCTTGGTATGAGCAGGTCTGGTGCCCTGTAACCAGGGCCCCATGAACTCTGAGCCAAGCATTTGCAGGGTGGCCAGTGATGCATTGGATTCACCATCCAAAGAGACTAAAAGGGCCCCAGTTTTCTGAGAGCAGGTCCTCAGCACTTCCCTGGCCACTCTAGAAACTCGTGGGCTTGGATAGTAAAAGCTGAAGCTGTCATTCCAGCCTCTGTGGTTACAAAGAAAGCATTTCCATGTAGCATGCCCAATGCATCTGTCTGCAGAGAGTCTGAAATAGTAGCTGCTAAGCCATTGTCCTGCTCATGAAACAGAGCTGTTGGCCCATGCTTTTGCTAGTGTGCCCAGACCCCTCAGCCTTGCCCAGGCAGGAGCACTTGTCCTGTAGCGCCATGTGCCCCGCTGGGCTGTGATGCATGTTGTGTCTGTCCCCAGGATGATCGAAGACCTGGAGCTGTCCAACAAGCGGCACTCACTGGTGCAGACGCTCTCTGGGGGGATGAAGAGGAAGCTCTCGGTAGCCATTGCCTTTGTGGGTGGTTCACGGGCTGTCATCTTGGATGAGCCCACAGCCGGTGTGGATCCGTATGCACGCAGGGCCATCTGGGATCTGATCCTCAAATACAAACCAGGTGGGCAAACCCCAGAGTGCCCAGCAGGTTGAGCTTTATCAGCCACTCCAGGTTGCACCCTGCCACAATCCAAGCTATTGTTGCCTTGGCAAACAAAGCCTGTGCTCCCCTGAATGCCTGGGAGAGGAATACCTCAGTTAGGCCATTTGCCTGGAGGAAGAAAGAAAATAGGGACTGGAGTTTGTGTCCTGACATGAATACGTAACCAAATGGTGTCAAGTGGAGAGACACAGTGGGCTGGGGGAGCTCAGGATGGGGAGTTGGGATACCTCTGTTCTATTCAGGCCCCTGCTGCTGGCTCTTATCTGAGACAAGTCCTTCCCCACCTTTGTGTCTCTGTTTCCTCCCCATCAGCCTTTCCTCACCTCGACGAAACATGCTGAGTCCCTTGGTTGAAAAGGCTGTGGGAGGGGAGAGTGTTGCAGTTGTCTGCCTGTGTGGAAAGATCTCTAAGGCCCATGTCCAGTATCACACTGCTTGGCAGGGCACTGTGTTGTCTGAGGGCAGCAGCAGTCAGCCAGGTGCTGTGCAGGCTGCTGTGTCCTTCCCAGAGCCCTCTTCCCCCTGATGCACCTCCTGCCCCTGCTTGCCTCTCTCTGATGCCCCTCATATGTGCTTCTCTCTGGCCTGGCAGGAAGGACCATCCTCCTCTCCACACACCACATGGATGAGGCTGACCTGCTGGGGGACCGCATCGCTATCATTTCCCATGGCAAGCTCAAGTGCTGTGGCTCCCCGCCCTTCCTCAAGAGCACCTATGGGGATGGCTACAAGCTGACAGTGGTCAAAAGGCAATCAGATGCCCGGAATAACACAGGTGTGTATACGAGTAAGTCCCATCTGGCTGACCCAGGGGCAGCCACTGTTGGTGATCAGTTCAGCTAAACTGGGAAAACCCATCTGCTTTGCTGCTCAAGTAACACTGAAAATCTGGACATTTTACATCTCACTACCTGCATGGGGATATAGTATCTGCCATCTGACAGCATTGCCTTGTCCCCTCTGAGCGCAGGTTGGCTCGGGGGCTTGGTAAAATCCTGCGTGGAGCCGTCTGCCTGCAGGATGCTGGTTTCAATTCAGCCCAGGCTGGACGCATCCAAAGATGATTCATTGGTTAACAAGTATCTGAGTAATGGAACGAGCTCCACTTACTGGAAGTTCCTGCAAAGAGGCCAAAAGTTAAATGAGTAGCAGAAGCGAAATCCCCCTCTTAGCTGTAGCTGGGAACGCTCCAGCACAAGGCAGTGTAGGGGCAGCTCACTGCATTCTGTGTGCACAAAAGGCTGCTCTGCCCAGCACCCAGACCCTGCCCTCCCTCCCTGAATTCAGAATTAACAAAAAGAGCAGCAGCTTGGACATCCCAGAAGGTAACATTTTGAGGTCCCAGTAGGACATACTTACCGAGTGACTGGTTCTCCTTTGTGCTAGATGCAGGACAGACTCACAGCCCTCCATCCCATTCTTCAGTCAGCCCGTGCTCCGAGCCCCGGGTCTCCCAATTCATCAAAAAGTATGTTGCCTCCTGCTTGCTGATCTCGGACACCAACACAGAGCTCTCCTACATCCTGCCCAGTGAGGCTGTCAAGAAAGGCTGCTTTGAGAGGCTTTTCCAGGTATCAAACCTTCGCCCAGATGCTGGTCCAGGTGCTAGTGGAGCAAGGGAACACTGGTGGGGCAGGGTGCAGTGGTCTGACTGGGATGTGGAGCTTATTTTCAGTTCTAAAAGAACAGTGTGGAGATGCTTTCTGTCTGCTTGATTCCCCTGAGACATCGGGTAGACACACATTTAGTCTGTTGTACACATCCCTCATGGACAACTCTACCTCTGATTTGTACATGCTGAATTGTTGTTGCAGCACCGGCTGTGGGAGCAGCACTGAATTGTGTGTCAGGATGGAATATTCTAAGGTTCTAAAGGGATTTGGGTGCCTGATTTGTTAAGGGTTTTGCTCTTAGAGTAGACACAGCCCTTACTGAGTGGCATGGCCTTCAGCATGGAGCGTCCCCCACATCGTGCACTCTAGGCTGTTTATGGCTCAGTTTCCAGCACACTCTTGCCTACTCCTGGGCTTTTCTGGTCTGCTGTCAGTTTGTATTGCTGCAGCAGATGCTCCCAGAGCAACACAGGGCACCAGGCCACTAGGACAGCTGCTACAGCATGCTCTTCTTCCCTTCAGGTTGCTTGGGTGGCTTTGGGGGCTTTTTGCTTCCTATGAGCAGGCAGCAGAAATCCTTCCCCAGGGGAACTGCCATAGCTCCATGGCTGTGGGCAAATTGCAGTGAATGGTGAGTTGGGGCAGAGCACCACTGGGAATGAGACTTCCTGCAGCCATAACTACAGGCAACTGTCAGTGCCCCCTGTCTCATGCCAACTCACAGGGGACAGGAGTCTGTGACAGCTCTAGCTAAGGATCTGGGCTCAGCCTTTAGCAGTTTTGGAGGTCTGCAGTGCATCAGTCCAGGTGCTGGCAATTGTCAGACATGTGGCCATCCTGTCTGTGGTAGCTGGGCAGTGGGGGAGGCCATCTTTATTCAGGGGGCTGGGACACTGGGCACTGGGACTTGATGCATAACCTGAAAGAGCAGCTCTTTGCCATGGGCTTCTTCATCTCCTCATTGGGAGCTATCCCTGTTTGCAGCACCTGGAACAGAGCTTGGATGATCTGGACCTGACCAGCTTTGGGCTAATGGACACAACCCTGGAAGAGGTCTTCCTGAAGGTCTCCGAGGAGGACCAGTCCTTGGAGAACAGTGATATTGGTAGGAGTCTACATAAAGGGCAGGGGCAGGGTTTGTGTTTGGCAGTGTCTATATATGCTGGCAGGTGAAGAATTTGCTCAGTCTCCTGTCTAGTCTCCTGTCTACTGCTAGGAAGCTTTGTTAAGAGTGTACCATTAGTGAAAGCCTCCCTCTAGCATTGCCAGCACTGGAGCGCAGGAGCAGGGGAGCTCATGGGACCCAGAAAATCTTGGTAGGGTTTTGGTGTCCTGGGATGGCAGGGTCCTTAAGGAAGAGCTCCTTTCCCCCTCTAAAACACACATTCAGTTCAGGCTTGGATCTGACTTCTGTGATCCATGCAGCTAGCAATTGAGTAGTCGGCCCATCTCGGGGCCAAACCATTGTTCCTGCCTGAGAGCAAGGGCAATATCCATGGAAGGATGCTTTGCCTCAGGATGGATGGCTCTTGATGCTCCCATACCAACCCACCTTCTCCTTTGCAGATGTGAAGGAGTCCAAGAAGGATGCCCTGCAGCCACCAGCTCCCCCAATGGGCCCAAAGCCTGAGGCCAATGGAGAGCCCCTTCCTGAAGTGGAGGCACCTGAGAAGCCGGACGTGGAGCTCAGCAACCTGGTGGCCTGCTCCAAGCTGGCCCAGTCCCAGGCGTCCCTGCGCTCGGCTTCCTCTGTGGGCTCCGTGCGGGGTGATGAAGGTGGGGCTTATTCGGAGTTCTATGGGGATTACTCTCCGTTGTTTGATAATCTGCAGGACCCTGATAACATCAGTCTGCAAGGTTTGTAACGCACTACATGGCAGGCCTTGAATTCGCTAGCGGGGTAGGCTTGGCCTGCTCGGCTGGGCAGCAGGTGCTTTGCTCTGGCTCTGCTCTCAGCTCCTATGTGGCAGAGGCGAGGTGGCGGCTGCTACCAGCTACAGTTGGTCTTTGCCATCCCCCCGAACCAGCTTTCTTGTCCCCAGCGTGGGTTCAGGGAGAAAGTTTGCAGCTTGTGCATGGGGGATGGTCAATCAAACCTCTGCATGCCAGAATCTCTCTTCCACCCTGCAGTCCCATTCTTCAACAGAAACATGCCCAGAGGTACCCTCACTAGCTGTGATGAAAGGGAGAGTGAGCACTAGCCCCTGAGCATTGGTGGGTTGCTTAGGAGCAGGAACCCACTCAGATGGAAAAGCCGCAAGTTTAGGGGCCAGC